AGTTCTACGCCAAACTGAGAGGGGTCCCCAAGTCTGAGATAGACAGGGTCAGTAAACACTGATACTGATATCAATTCTCACTTCATCATTCAATAATTTCTGTATTATGGGTGCTATCTCAAAATTTCCTTTTACTGTTGGCAAAACAACAAAGAAAGTTTCAGGAGACATTTATTTTGATGCTAACATCAAGAGGTGGAGGTGGAAATCTTTAAAATGTTATGCTGCCCCTACCAAATAGCTGTGGGGCCGATGGATGCATGGCGGACAAAAAATTTAGCATAATTTAGTATCTGTATCAGTATAGCCAGTATAACCGCCCTTTGGCGTAACACACCTGTTTCGCAGGCACGCAGCGTGGTGGCAGCTAGCTATATGACACCAAATGACTCGTTACACTCAATCTTTGCAGTTAGTTGCAGGAGTTGTTTAAAGCTTTCTATTGATGCCCCAACTGTGCTTGGTGGCAACGAGGTCCACTCTACGATAGTTCTTGGAAAATATGTGTTTTTGAACACCTCAATTCTCGGTTGATAACTCTGATATTTGAAGGCATGACTGTTCCTTGTCCTTCTTTCGGCTGGTATGAGACACTTAGTGATTGGTACATCCACCAGTTTATTAGTCATTTTGTACATCATGCATATAGTCAGGGCTTTTTTCATCTGTCTTCCAGCGACCCCCACTGTAGGTTTCTTTTCATTTCCGTTACACTAGCACCCCTTTTATAGTTGTTCGTGCAGAATCTTGCAGCTTGGTTCTGTACCCTTTCAAGTTTATCTTTGTCTTTCTTTGTATAGATCTCACACTGTTGCGGCATATTCTAGGTTTGGTCTTACAAGTGACGTGTATGCAAGTGATTTTACCCTTGTTGGGCATGACCATGCACAGATTGCGCTTAATCACTCCCAATGTCTGTTTGGCCTTAGCAGTGATGTTGTACATGCATGTCCCACTTCAGGTTACTTGTCAATGTAAGACCGAGATACAGGTGGGTTTTTGTTGTTGGCAGAACTGGTAGCTATACAAATGTAGTTATATGTGGCATTTGCTTGTTTGATATATGCATAATGTAGCATTTTCTGGGTTAAACTGCATGAGCCATTTGCTTTGACATTCTTCCAGCATGTTCAGATCTTTTTGTAGAAGTTGTGAGTCATTCTGTGTAGACAGCTCTACATATACTAGTAACAGGCAGTCATCGGCAAATAAGTTCACGTTTGAGTCTAGCTGATCTGGTAGCTATAGTCAAGCTGATCTGGTAAAGATATAGAAAGAGATATCATTAACTAAGCTTACAAATGTAGTAAAGTCTAATAGCATTTCAAACATTTCAAAATTTTCGCATGGAGCATGCCCCTGGCCCCTCCTAGAAGATGCAATGACTTGTGCCTTTGGCAAACAATGATGTTTTGTTTGCCAAACAAAATTGGGATGATGAAAAAAATGTCACGCCGGCTAGAACCCTGTAATATGTATATTATGAACTTCTACCTTAATGACATACTGTGTCTACCACAGGTTGCTCGGTGGGGAGTGAGGACCCTGGGTCTGTCCCAGTATGCAGACAAATGTGCTGGAACCTTCAGTGGGGGCAACAAGAGGAAGTTATCCACAGCCATCTCACTCATCGGAAACCCTCCTGTGGTCTTCCTGGTCAGTACACAATACAATATCCTCAGCTGTTATTACTCGTACCATGCATGCATATACAAGTACAATGTACAACAGAAACAGTAAAGATGTGACACAGCTCAGTAGGCAGGAGTACTGTTAATTTTTCAACTTATGAAGGAAGCTCTGTATCAAGAAGGAAAAACGTTAACTACGGGCACATGTATGTTTACACAAGGTTTATACACAGAAGTGAGTATAAAATCTGAATTTTACTTTTTGGCATACATTTAACCATCTTACCATACCATAGTACCTAGTCCCATCCTCATGTCTGAGGGTCGGGGACTATAGTGGCATCCAATATCAGCCTCCTCCACTCCCTCCTGTCACTGGCCCTGTGACAACACTGTCAGTAGCATGGCCATCCTAGACCATATTTAATTAATTGGTTCTCGGATTTGCCTGCTTCATTTTCTTCTGATGTACCAAAAAAAGCTTCAGGTTCTACAGCAACTCCAAAGTACCTAACTTTTTATCCCACACAGATGAAGAAAGCTCCTTGCATGTCTTCTTGTGGTTACAGTTTTTCCATCTATCAATGCAGTGGTTTGCTAGAAAGATAAAAAATTTTATTGTTTGAATGTGTGAGCTTGGTATGTTGACTTCATGGCTTTGGGGGCTATCAGAGGTCTATTTTATTTTTATTGTCTTTCACCCACCGATTCTTAGTTTTTCTGAAAAAATCAGAGAACCAACAAATGAAATTGGTTAGGCCTTTGGACCAGATTATTTCTTATGGCTGTGGTGAAACATATTGTGTTCTCTCATGTTTCTTCTTTTTCTACTTCTCCTGCCATTTCTTTAAACAAATTAAAGGGATTCAACTCTGCTGTTCTTCGGCCAAATGATCTGAAATTGACATTTTCTGACAAAATCTGTACATTTAGGGTCCTGGAGACCTAGTATTACACCCAAATCATTTTTGTTAAATTTGTCATTTTGTTAAATGGATCCAGACCATCTTAAATTTGGTATGGGTATGCTTTATCTACCAACAACAATTCGTGGTATTTTCACTGTATTGTATATTATATTTTCACTGTATTGTATATGTCATGTACATGTACTTCTGTGTCCCTCAGGATGAGCCGACCACTGGTATGGACCCCGGAGCGCGGAGATTCCTGTGGCAGTGCATCACTAAGCTTGTGAAGGAGGGGCGCTCTGTGGTGCTGACATCCCACAGTATGGAGGAGTGTGAGGCCTTGTGTAACAGGATGGCCATCATGGTCAATGGCAGGTTCAAGTGTCTGGGCAGTGTGCAGCATCTCAAGAACAGGTATGAAAAAGATTGATTTGAAACAGTCCATTTTGGAATGGGGACGGATATATGGACTGAAATATGATGAATTTGCTCCTGAGCTTATGTCTGCCTTTCTAGTTAGACCTTAGCTTGGAAGCCAAGAAGCCATGAACAAGAACATCAGGGTTTTGAGAATACTTGTTACTTACAGCTGTACAAGAACTGGGGGTTTCAGAATGCTAAAAAGCACTGTATGGGCCATGGGGTTTCGATAGCAATTGTTACGAACAGGGGGTATGGAAAAGGTTGATGTGGAACTAGATCTTGGAATGGAGAGGAAGAATGGGTGAAATGCACAATCATGTATGCTGTATTTGCTCTGAGTAAATGTTGGCCTTTCTAGTTTCTCAAGATTTTTGCCTTCATTAGAAGGGTATGTTTTCAGTTTGCCCCTGGTGAAGTTTGTCTTGTATATCAACAGAATAACTCGAGAAGTTGTTAATGGATCTTCATGACATTTGATAGGCATATAGTGATTGTAAAGACAAAGGTCAAGTTCCAAAATGGTTAACCTGGGGTAATCCAACAGTACTGTTGGTGCATTTTGGTGCATTTTGTTGTTTTCAAATACTATTCAAATTAATGACATGTACATGTAATTTCAAACGAGAAGAACATTGGCAGATATTAATTGTAATTGTAATTAATAATAAGGCATTTGCATCATTTATGAGAAGATGCTAGAATAGCTTTCTTTCTAAAGATAAGATTGACACTGGATAGAGAACATGATCAACTGATTCATACAGATTAGGATCTAATTTTTCAGTTGGTTAACATAAAAATTAACAAAAAGAGCTAATTTAATAAAAAGAAAAAGCCTTTCATTGGGTGGGTACTATGATCAACTGATATAAGAGAAACATGTACATGTAAATGACATATTAAGTTGTCAGCTGTATAGGGATTAACATCATTTGGTGAAAGTATGAGATCGTGGAACTCTAGTTCAAAATGTTACATATTATCAATACCTTTACTCAACAACGTTATGGATATATCAAGGCATCCAGTAGATTTAATATGTGTTTGATCAATGATTTAGCATGAAAGCTTACATGTATCTGTGTTAGTACACTCCATAATAAAATTAATACTTTCATTCAGCAGAATCAAAATGTAGCTCACCTACAATTTTCAGTCGCACATATGTTAACCTTCTTGAGAAGTTAAGATTGTTTACTCTGAGCCTGTAACCTTAGGGTCACATGACTCGAGTCCTGCCTACCTGCCTAAATGCTATATATATATATATATATATATAGGCTCCTAGCTACTGGCTCCCTCCGTGATTAGTCTTGATGACTCGAGTAATGAATCATACTGAACGAATCATCAACTCTTTCCTTCAGGTTTGGTGACGGGTACACAGTCATGATCAAGGTGGGAGGAGACATGCCCAGCGTGCAGCCGGCATGTGAGTTCATGGCCGCCACCTTCAGTGGAGCTGTGCTGAAGGAGAAACACCACAACATGCTGCAGTACCAGCTTCCATCACAGGGGACCTCGCTGGCACAGCTGTTTGGGGAGCTGGACAGGAAGCGACAGGAGCTGAACATTGAAGACTACTCAGTCAGCCAGACGACACTGGACCAGGTTGGGCTTTTCTTTGCTATTTGTTGGAAGAACATTTTAGAATACAGCAAGTGTTAGACAGTGTTGTTGTGTGGCATTTTCTCAATCTACAAGAAAAGTGTAAGAATCTTGCAAATTCTTGTCCATGTACTTTTTTATGTGACTGTGATTTCTGTGATCTGTATCTGTATAGACTGTATAACCGCCCTTCGGCATAGCACACCAGCTTGAATTCAAATATCATAATTCTTTATAGTTTGTACTATTAAAAGATTCCAGAATACAAATTTTGGGTGAAATTTGCCATTACATTTCCGCTTACAGCACATTCAAAATACTTGAATGTATACTGTAATTCCTGATTTGTTCACTGTACTGATAAGTTCACTGTTTTCACTGTTGCTTCTGTACAGTGAACTTATCATTACAGTTAACAAATGATTCCCGGACTCTCTTTTTTCTGCACCTGTCACCACCGTGAACATATAGTTCCGTGAACATGTCCATTTTTCTCAGACCGTGAAATTTTACTACCGTGAACATAAAGTGAATTACAGTACAACAACATCTACATGGAAAATGATAGGTCCTCCACCCAAATGACACGAGTTTCTTGCCCAATTCTGTACCAGGTCTTCATCAACTTTGCCAAGCTACAGACAGATGGAATTGATGATGTCACCATCCCAGAAATGTCGGATCTGATCAGAGAGCCTCGGAACAGAGACGCCCCTAACGGGATGTACTTCTCTGACATCCGCACAAGTAGTGAGATAGCTCTCATGGACACGGCTTCTGTCGGTTCTGCTGAGGCATAGTGACAGTGACACAATTCTCTATGTTACCTGCAACAATCACATGGAGCAAAAATCACATGGACAGAAATGTTGAAATACATTTGTACAGCCAAGAAAGCTGTATTTACATTTGTACTTTATATACGATTGTCAGGTTGTTGCCATGTCACAGTGTTTATAACACTGAATTTAGCAAGTACATGTAATTACATGTAACTGAATGATCTTTCAGCATGTAGTTTAAGTGTGTAGAGACAAACTATGTAGTCTTATGCCATATGTACTGGTAACTGTAGTATGTTATTTTGTGTTAAAATTGCAGTAAAATTGTATTTTACATAATGTCAGATCTGAATTATAACATATAACAGAAATTGTTACTGATTTTACATAAAAGCTAGCTTTTTAGATCATGTAGTTCTCATCCTTTATAATTTGAAAGGTATCAGTTGGTTATAGCCTTCTGTTACTCAGTGCACTAGTAGTATTATAAAAATGTAATGGAAATTGCATTCATTGGCGCTGCTTAGGTGCCATCATAGCAGAAGTACATGTATGAGAATAGCAGAAAAGTCACACACAAAATGAATGTATACAATGGCAATGCAAAAGTAGTGAACAGTAGACAGATGCAATACAAAAAAATGTACTAAGGCCACAACAAGTAATTTTATGGATGACATCAGCACGCACATTGATTTTTGCCTGATTTGGGGGAAAAAAGAAATTTTGTCGCCCTTGGAGGGTGGCCAACATGCCTTAAACGGAAAAATATGTTATTAACGTCTGTCTTTTCTGTTACAAAATGCCCTATTTGCTTATATTCTTGTCAAAGTTGTTTCAGTGGCAAATGGATGCTGTAATAGGTAGTACAATATACTATAAGGTACAACATCATTAAATGAACGCATGTATACATCAGTATGGACACATTAAGATCAAGATCATTGTTTATGAGGCAGATCATGTACGGTATCCTAGAGTTCACATACCGGTTAGTTTTGGCTCGCACACAATTCAGTTTATGTGAGTCACTCTGTCAGTTTTTGAGCCTTGTGTTCTGGTAGGCAGTCTCTAAACTCAGAGACCATCAGGGATACTGCAAATTTGAAGCACAATTGTTAGTTGGCATCTTATGACAGTTTAAGGTGTCGCATTGCATAATAGAATAGCTGCCCATGATGGTACAACAAGCTCGTTTCCACAGTTCGTGAAGTTAATTGAGATGTATACACATCTACAAGGACAGGTAATACAGGTATAAAAGACCTGTTGGTTGTAATTCCATGTTTTTCACTTCAATTCTAGTTTGTGATCTCAAGATTTGAAATGTATGAATGTTTTTTTTTTATTAGATTTGGAGTCTTTGGAGGATGTGATCCAGAAAATATACTTGCTGTGGTCTATTATCATGCCAAATAACAAGGAAGGTATTACATGCTCTGAGACTTTGCCTTGATGTAAACCCACTGCTGTTTTTATCAATGACAATGTTTCATAACAAGCTCTGTCATTGTTTGCTATCCCCACATTCACTTACCAGCAGTCTTGTCCTTGATGTCAGATTTGTGACTGGTGCAATGATATTCAGAAAACAGTCACTTGGGGTGAGGGTGTGCTAAAGTATATATGACATGGCAGTGTGCAATAATATTGTGGAGTATTCTTTACATTTAATCATAGTTTTCCTCAGAATGTACATTGTTATTTACAATGTTTCCATCTGAAAAGAATTTTACATTCCTTTTAAAGATAAGCTTTGACCTTGATGTGTACTATATGTATAAATTTGTGTGTGTGTGTGTTAGATGAAAACAAAATGCATTTCAAAATGGTATGGGGATAAAGATGTAGTAACACCTCTACAAGATAGCAAACTAAATTCAAACTTTTGACTTTATGTGTATTTTCTAATAGAGTCTATTTAAAAGATATGCAAAAAAGTTCTAAAGCTGTCATTACATTTACTGGATATGCTGCTACATCTAACTGAATATGTATATTGAATATAACGTTATGAAGAAATTACCCAATTTTTTTAAGTGCAGTGTTTATAGAAAGCTATGCAAATGGTGATTGTTGTTTCAGAAAGTATCTTCATTAAGGACAATATTGCAAAGTTAAAAAGGTAATTGAAAAATCATTGTGTGTAGGAAGACTTTACGGCATTTCAGCCTTGTTGACCTTTGCATATTTATCCTACAAATATGAAAAACATCACTTGTATAATTTAAGATAATTTTTCTTCTTAAGAAATTGTTAATCGGGTATTGACTCAAAAACAGTTGTTACATATGTATGTACAGATTGTAGTTTATTGTTAAGAACTTGTGGTTTGACACATTTGTAATACTGTACAAAAGTGTAAAGTATATTTGTTTTGCAGTTTTTACTCCGTGAAGGAGGTCAGGACCTCCGGTCGGAGTGTTGTGAAGAGCTGTTTTTCGTGTTCGCAGTCAAAACACTGGGTTCTCTTTGTGTAATCGGCATGCAGTTTTATACGCCGTCTGCGGGCATGCCCGTGTGGATGCACGAATGTGTATTTTTGCCGTTGCTGCTTTCGCGGTCAATGTAATATTGCAGATGCACCCCTACAATTATGAGGCAAATTGGAATGGTCCAGAAAAACCCGTTGTTTGGAATAGCGGTGGGGGGTGGAACTTCAGGCAAATATGGTGAGTGGCCGATAAGTGGTACCACGGCAGTAACACTCGCGGTGCTGGCCGCAACTGTTGCTGGAATTTGCCAGTCGCGCTTAATAAGAAACAGGCACGGTAAGACGGTGGGGCTGTCTTTGTTACTAGTGACACGACCATGATAGTCCGATCTTTATGTGAATGCAATGATTGTGTGTGTGTAATTAAAATGAACTTCGAACTTGAAGCACAGTATCTTTACACGCCCTGAGAGCAGTAATGGATTTAGGTCTTTTTATGTTTTACGGTTGTGACGCGCCCTCATTGTATTAACCGTTGCAATATGTCTGCACAGTAGGTCTGGCGTTGACGCTTGGTATTATTTTTGTTGCAAAATATAAAACTTCACGGAGGATTGTCACCTATGGCTTCTTGTTCAGTATTTTGACAATGCAGAACTTGAGTTACATGTAATGCAGGCACCAGTAACACTTGTGTGGTATGTATGTACATGGGAACATGATAAACAGTTTCCTGGCTGTACATGATGTTTTATTTATTGAAACTGTGACTCTTCTTGTTATTTAGTCACCTGTTGCCAGTCCTTTTATCACGTAAAATAGTTTACAGTTTCCACGGTTCAAAGGACGCTATACGGTTATGATTTAGACTCCCAACATCTGGTTGAAGAATAGAAAGAACCAACTTGTAAACATTGGGCGGGTGATCTTCAGGGTGGGTCACACAATGTAACGCCCAGACGTGTGGGTTTTTGTTGTTGCTTTAGAGCAAATGAGAAAAAAATGGCTTATATTTTGCACAGTGATAGTACATTTGTACTTGATCCGCAACCTCTCCAAATAGCTATCTTTCCGGTCAACACCGATCGTTGCCATGGTAACGGGCCAAATAAGTTTTTGGCCATTTTCGCTGATTTTGGTATGCCAAAAACATGAAAATTCCCAACGTTTAGGACAGGATTATGAACAAACGCTTGAATATTACAGCAAAATAACAAAATGGGCTAAAAAGACCAACTGTTTTGCTTTCCTAAGATACCTTTGAAATTTTCACAAATCTAATTTCAAGTGCTTGGGCAATCTCAAAACAATACAGTGTTTTAGGGTTGTCAAGAAACGTAATTCTTGCCCAACTTTGAAGTGCTGTACATGTAAGTCCAAAGAGGGTGATTTTTTTTGGTTTCAGATTTGTACAACATGTACATCATAATACTTGCCATGAATGCATGCTTGCAAAATTTGGGGTCGTCTTTTTTGTTGTCACGTGGTTGTCCTCAGAAGTAGTTTTTTTTATGTTTGATGCAATTTTTAGTCATATTCAAGATACAATATCTAGCTGTAAAGGTAGATCTGAGTAATCTTTTTGTCACAGATAACCCTATGCACTGTTTATCAAAGGAATACTTGTAGAAGTTGGGATCTTGTTTTGTAACTGTGAACCTGTCCCTTAAAGTAGGCCATATTTTGTACAGAAATGAACATTTTATGCTACAAATACCAACGTAAGATGTTTTTTCAATGCATCTTTTTTAATAGATGTACCTCTATGTACTGCCTATCAAATTGATGCTCGAATAGGCTGGGGTCTTGTTTCGTTGTTTTGTGTTTGTCCGTAAAAGTAGGCCATATTTTGGACATGGGTAGAAATGAACACTTGGGCTATGTTTGACGCTCTACAAATGCCAAAATAGGATGTTATTTTAATGTATCTTTTTAACAGTAACCAAGTATTTTGTCCATCAAATAAACCCTTCCAGAGGTTGAGGTCTTGTTGCGTATTTGTCCCTAGAAGTAGGCCATATTTTGTACAATTATAGTTATACATAAATTAACATTTTAGACCCTCAAACCACCGTATGGTGTCAAAACTGACCACAGGCGTATATGAATATGTGCCATTTTGACATGTCCAAAGGACATTCCTTCTATGAGTTTGTTTATATTTTCAGTTGTGTTTATCTGTCTGTCTGTTGGTCAACAAAACTAAAGAACGGCTGGATGGATTGGTTTCATACTTGCACACCTGCAAAACGGACACATTTGACCATTACTGCTCTTTAAGTTGCTGCCACGTAAAAGTTGGTATTGCATAAAAATAAAGAAATATCACCCTGTAATCCATGACCAGGCGAAGATACATTGAAATCACATTGCGTTCAGACGCAAATCGCGATGCGGGAAAACCGATTCGAAACCACCTCTAGAAATGGCTTGGGATCGAGGCGCTTTCAATGTGATTTGGAGCGTTCAGATGGAGCCACTTGAAACCGGCTTCGGGGTAAACCACATGTAAAGCGCCTTGGGTGACTTCACATAAACACGGCCTAATATTTATGCGGTCCTCATTTGAGATTTAAGTCAATTCGCATAATACGACGATTGTGTAGATGAACTGAACTGAACTGTGTAAATACAGTAAGAAACTATAGTTCCACGACCTCATACCTTCGCCAAATGATGTTAATCTTTATGACTGATAAATTATAGATTATTGCCCCTGATTATGCTGATAGGATCCTCATTTCCATGAATTATATCAGTTGATCATATTCTCCACCAAAAGACAGTCTTATCTTAACAAAGAATGCCATTCCAGTATTTCCTCAATCCTCCAATTATGCACATGAGGTTCTTATTTGAATAAGTTATGTTTGATGACGTTCACCTTCACTTAACTTTCAAATACCCCAAGTATGAAATTCCAGGCAGTTACCATTACTGAATTACAACATTCTCTCATTAAATATGAAAATTTGAATCAATATCTGCCTGTGATTTTCTCGTTCTCAGTCATACCGCAAACTTGAATAGTCCTATCATGTAATGCTACTGATTTATAGAATATCCTCATGAATTATGCAAATTACATCCATAATTGCATAATTGCCTATTTTCATGACCATTAACTATGGAGAGCAAGGATTGATACACACTTTTTAAGCCCCTGTCTCCCAAACAGGCAGGCCATCACGAGCAGAAACTTCTACAGGCTCTCATCCCCCCCCCCCGGCACCATCAGGGAATGGAACGAACTTGAGCCTGGTGCGGCGGAGGCGGGGTCTCTCGCCCAGTTCAAATCTGAACTGGCGAGGACCCTGCTGCATTGAGCCCCCCCATCATGTCTTGTGTATATGTAAATATTACTAA